GGAGAGGGTCTGTGTGTTGATGGCCAGGAGGCAGGCTTGCAGGGTGTACCCTTTGGCTGTTTGATGATGTATGCAAGGAATTATAATCATTGCAATGAAATGAAGTAAGATAAGATAAATGTAAAGCTAATGTTCTCCCATGTAAACTATCACATAATTTATAATAAAAACTTAAAAAAATTTTTTTGCTAAAAATGAATCTGACTATAATATAAAGTAACTAAAAGATTATAATTTCAAAGATCAGATATTGTTAAATTGGATTAAAAAAAGCAAGGTCGGTGGTTCAAACTCACCAGCCGCTCCTTGAAAACCCTATATAAAGGGTAATAACAATAACTATATGCTTCAAGTATGAATACCTGAATAGGTTAAAAGTAAAAGGAACAGAAAAGATATGCTTTATTGGCTTCATCCATGAGAAAACGTAGATTTTAGAGTAAAGAATATTACATGGGATAAAGAAGTTCATTTCATAATGTTAAAGGAGTAAATTCATTATCTTATCTGTTTATACAGATAAGAACAGAGATTCAAAATACATGAAACACAAACTAATAAAACCATGAAGATAAACAAATCAATCTATAATTATAGTGGGAGATTTCAGTAAACTCTCTCAATAATAGAACAGATAGGTAAGAAATAATGAGTACAGATCTAACTGATATTTATAGAACAAGCCATCCAACAAAACACACATTCACTTCAAATATATATTTGACAATCATAAAAAGAAATCATTAAAATAAAATTCAATTAATTTAGAAGAATTCCAGTCATACAAAGTATATTCTCTGACCATAATAAAACGAAATTAGACATCAATTTTTTAATTTCTGGAAAAATCTTTAGTTATTGAAACCAATTAACACACAAATAACCCATGAATCAAGAAAAATAAATCACACATAAATTCGAAAGTATTTTAAACTGAATGATATGAAAACACAACACATCAAAATGTGGGGGTGACAACTGAATTTTGTCAAGTTAAGCGTTTTCCCAATCCTCTTAGGACCTTTCTCCTAAGACTGAAAATTCCTGGACACAACACAACAAATAACCATAGGAAGGTTCTGAAAGGTGAAAAGGAGGAGGAGGATATAAAAACATGACACTGAGTTCCTTTGGTTTCCTTATTAACTGTCATATATCCCAGACAGGGCACTGAATAAGTTTCCAACCCAGAATCACCAACAGGCACAGACCAAAAAAAAATTTTTCTTTGCAATAGAAGGTTGGTCTTTCAGTCAATCAGAAAAGGATGGACCATCAACAAAATTTGGCAAGATCTACCTTTATTCCAGCCAAACAAAGCTTTAATCTACCTTTAGTAATTGTGTTGTTGTTAAGTGCTGTCAAGTAGGTTCCAACTCATAGCAATCCTGTCTAGAGTTTCCAAGGCTATAAATCTTTATAGGAACAGAAAATCTCATCTTTCTCCTGCGGAACAGCTGGTTTGCTTGAACTGCTGACTTTGTGGTTAGCAATCTAGTGCTTATCCACTATCTTTCTAACTCCCACTAAATGACTCTTTTCCTTGATAGGTCAGATTAAGAGAAAGTGGGAGAAGATACTGATAGAATGACATGACTCAGCTGTGAAAGTTAACAGAGTTCATTTGTAATTGTGAAAACTTGAAACTTTAGCATGGGTATAAAATGAGCCACATCTCAGAAGTAAGAGAGGGGATCTCACTACCATCAAAGAAAAAGATCTAGGAGTGGAAAGCACTCTTTGGACCCTGAGATGGCTGAACATTTAACCACTTCAACGCAGAGGCAGAAAACTATGACATAGGAGGAGTGTCAGAGAAGCAGCAGTCCTATAAAATAGGAGACAGGTGGGCTTCTCAGCCACAGAGCAAGTAAAGCTAAGTGACTTTGGGCAAGAGTGTTGCTTGCAGAATAAGGTGCCTCCAAGCACTGATTTTGGAGAACTAGGCTTGCTGACCCACAGATAGTCAAGTGCTTTTAGGTAGAGGCTGTCCTGCAGGTATGAATCAGCAGCCCTAAAAGATCTTTGCTACTCATGAGCGGTCATCTAAAGGGCAACCAACAGCCTCTCTAGTGCAAAAGAAAGACAAGTGATAAAAATGGATGATGCTTGGAATTAATTAGTCCATTGGACTAGTGAAACCTGTGAAGACCAGTCTTCAAGGCCCTGAGATCAGATGGCGCCTGGCTATCACTACCAACTGCTCTGAGAGAGATCATATTAGAAGGTTCCAGATTGCGTGGGAGAAAATATGGAACAAAACTCTAAATCATAACCACCACCACCACCCCAAAAAAAAGACCAGGCTTACTGGTCAGATAAGAGACTGGAGAAACCTCAGGCTATGATCCTCAATCACCCTTCAGCTCTGGAAAGGAACTCACCTTCATGGCCCAATTTTTAGCCAAGCAGTAGGATAGGTATATGGGGACAACAACACTAGTAAGGTATGCTCACCAAGGAACAGTAAATCTTTCAAGATCAAAAGGGCAACATTTATCTAAAGACAAAGTTGAGAATGGATGGAAAGGGGGAATGTGAATAAGAAGCACAGGGAGGAAGTGGGATAACTTGTTGCATGGAGGGGATTACAATCCTTGCGATGAAACAAAATGTATGACTTGCTGGATATGAAACTAATGATCTTTTTTGGCAAACCTCTACTCAATTTACAATCCAAAGTTTTTTTAAAAATAAAGTGTCCATGCTTACTGGTCAGACTGAAGGAATCCAAGACTATGTCCTTCAGCCACCCTTCAGATAGTGACCCAATTTTAAATCAAATGGTGGATAGGTATATAGTGGGGGCAATACTAGTAAGGTATGCTCACCATGGAATGTTAAACCATTCAAGATTTTTAAAAAGGCAACATTTTCCTGGGGACCATGGAATGTTAAACCATTCAAGATTTTTAAAAAGGCAACATTTACCTGGGGACCATGGAATGTTAAACCATTCAAGATTTTTAAAAAGGCAACATTTACCTGGGGACAAGTTTCAAAGAGTTCGGAAAGGAGGGGAGAACGGAAATAGGAACCACAGGGGGAGAGAGCAGGATGACTATTATTACATGGAGGGAATTGCAATCAGAAATATAAAACAAAGTATGTGATTTCTTGGATGTGCAACTGATTCTCTGCTCTGTAAACCTTCACTCAATATACAACAAAAATTTAACAACAACAACAAAAAAGCTTTGTAACACTGATAGAGCAGGACAGAGGCCAGGCCAAGGGACCAAGGAACCAAAGGCCAGAGAGACCCCTCACTGTGGGCATAGCAGAGGAGAGGCCATCCTGACTAAAAGAACTATACCCTGAGCAGTTCTGACCCTGAATCCGTTAACTTCCCTAATAAACCCCATAACTCTGAGTATGGTGTTTGAGTTCTGTTTGGCCACTGCAATTAATTCTCAAACCCAGCTGAATAGAGGGGGCTGTGGGAGGAATGTTTGATGCATATTTTTGTAGCCACATCTCTTCCCAATGAGGAATTAATCTTTCATCCATTCTACCCTCACCAGGTAGACTACTGTTGTTGTCATTAGCCACCTGCTGTTGTTAAGTGCCATCAAGTCAGTTCCGACCCATGGCAACCCTGTAGGGTTTCCAACAAAGAGGTGGGTGAGCCTGAACCGCCGACCTTACAGTTCAAAAAGGCTTTGTTGTCTGGCATTAACCCACAGTGCCACACCAGGGCTCCATCATTAGCCCACACCATCCTCACGATTATTGCTATGCTTGAACCCATTGTTACAACCACTGTGTCAATCCCTCTCATTGAGGGTCTCTCTCTTTTTCACTTATCCTTTACTTTGCCAAGCGTGGCCTTCTCCAGCAACTGGTTCTTCCTGATAATAAGTTCAAAGTAAGTGAAACAAATCTTATCAGCAGTTGGCAGTTCAAACCCACCCACTGCTCCTCAGAAACCCTCTTAACAACAACAGCACTCAACCTGTATGCTGATCAAATAATCTGTGAAGCTAGACTGTATGAAGATCTATCATCAGAACATGAGGAAGAACAATTAAGAACCAGTGATATACAGAATTTTCATCCTCTGCCCAATAAAAGTACTATTTTGACTGCTCAACTAGGCAGTATTAGTGGAGTATGTTGTTAAGTGCCATGGAGTTGGTTCCAACTCATAGTGACCCTGTATAGGGTTTCTGAGGAGTGACTGGTGGGTTTTTGAACCGCTGACCTTGTAGTTAGCAGTCCAGTTCTTATCCTTTAGCATCACACCAGGACTTAGTGGAGGATAATGATAAATTAAACCTTCACCCCAACCAGCAGCAAAAATGCTAATATACAAGTGGTGCAAATCAAGGTTAGTCAAAAATACCGTCCCCTTTGGCTCTATTTTGTTAGTGGGGTCTATTACAAGCTAAGCCTCTACTCATACCCACAACAAGGTAGAACAAATTGATGCAGGGAGGGGTAGTTGGAGCCCTGACTTCTATTCCACCCATCTGTGAGGTGATATAACTTAGTATCTCCACTTCTACGAGGGCCCAGCAAGAAAATGAAGACACTTAAGAATCTGGTCCTAGAGCTATAACATAACAGAGGGACTGCTTGTTATAAAAATATAAATAGCCTCAAATCAATGACTTTACTTTCCACCGTAAGAAAGAAGAAAAAGAAGAGCAAATGAAACTCAAAGTAAGCACAGGAAAGGAAAATTTAAAAATCAAAGCACAAATAAAAAGAACATAGAAAAACATTACAGAAAAGGAACCAAAAGTTGGCTCATTGTACAAATCAATAAAATAAAAATAAACCTGTAACCAGACATATAAGAACAAAGAGAAGAGACAAATTATCATTTTATACATATCCAAAGTCTACCAGCAAATCAATGTGGGTTTTCATAATGGTTACTAATTACTAAAGAAACAACATACTCTATTTGGTTATAAATATTTCACTTACCGGAATGTTTAAATAAATGTAATTGGTATTAATATAGATAGTAATGAACCAAGAATTAAGGATACATTCTTATAGCACCTGTTCTTGTCCCAATAGCCAAGATTTTCTGAACTGGATCAAAGGCTAATGCGGTAGGCTGATAAGGAAAACCATGCCGAACTGTCTGAAAGAGAGCAAATGGTACAAATAGTCTTCAGGGAATAAAATTTTTAAATCACAAAATATCACTCAACAACCACTAGAATGACTAAATTTAAAGTAATTTTTTTTAATGTGTTAACAAATATTGGCAAGGATATGGAGTAAGCCAAATTATCATATACTTGTTGGTAAGCGTTTAAAATTATATAATCACTTTGGAAAATGGCTTGGAGTTCCATACACCACCATCCTAGGATGCAGTAACTCTATTCCTCTGAATGTACTTGACCAAATAAAAAACATCTCCACAAAATGATTCTACAAATATATTACTGGCATTTTCATTCATGTTGTTTTTGGTTCCAAGTCATAGAGACCCTGCCTAGGGTTTCTCAGGCTGTAAACCTTTATGGAAACAACAAGACTCATCTTTCTCCCAAGGAGTGGCAGGTGGGCTCAAACCACCTACCTTGTAGTTAGCAATTCAGTGTTTACCCAATAGAGTCACCATGCTCCCTTTGCTATTATTATTCCACATGTAACAACATGGATGGTTCTCAAAAGCTTACACTGGAAAAAACAAACAAACAAGGAGTCCTGGTGTGGAGCATGTAGGATCCCTGGGCTGCTAAACACAAGGTTGGTGGACCAAACCCACCGGATGCTTTCAGCAACCAAGTCAGAACTGACTTGACAGCACTTAACAACAAACAAGTAAAATTAACAGTCATAAGCAAAGGAGTGCATATGATACAATCCCATTCCTAATTAAGTTCTGAACAAGCAAAACTAATTTATGGTTAAAAACAAAAGAACAATGGGAAAGGGTATGAAGGAATTTATTGGGTGAATATTCTATATTTTGACATATTTGGATTACGTAAGTGTACAGATTACTCAAAACTCATCAAGTGGTTAAATAAAATTTGTGATTTCATTGTATTAAAGTTAAACTTGTGTTTCAGAAAAATTGTTTAAAGTATTATATGCAAATATTGAACTCTAGTTAATGATATGCATACTAAAGTGTCAAGGAATGTAGTGTACTGATATCTGCAACTTATTTCAAAATGCATTTTAAAAAGTAGCATGGTTAGAGGGAAGAACATATGAATGAATAGATATATGATAAGGTAAATAAAGCAAAAGGAAGTCTGGTGTCACAATGATTAAGTGCTCAGATGCTAACTGAAGGTTAGCAGTTCACACCCACTCAGCTGCTTCTCTGATGATCTGCTCCTTTAAAGACTGGCAGTGGCTGTGTGCTGCTGATTCCTTTCTGATTCATGATGACCCTGTCTGTATAGGGTTTCTAAGGCTGTAAATCTTTATGGGAGCAGAAAGCTTCATCTTTCTCCCATGGAGCGACTGGTAGATTCCAACTGATTACATTGCGGTTAGCAGCTCAGCTCATAGTCAACTATTCTACCAGGGCTCCTTCGGTAAACATTACAGCCTAGAAAACCCTATGGGGCAGTTTCTACTTTGTCACATGAGGACACTGTAAAATCACAAACTAACTTGACAGCACCTAACAACAAAATAACAAATATAACAAAATGTTAATTTCAAATCTAGGTGGTATATATATATATTAGCACTGATAGTATAATCCTTTCAATTTTTCTGTATGTTTGAAATATTTCATAACAATATAATGGGAAGCAAACAGGAAAAATAAATAGTTCATATTTAATTAGGGAGATTAAGGCTAACATATGGGAAAAGGGAATATGTAACACGAGACAGGAGTTCATTTCAATATGGAATGTAGTATATATAATTTTTCAAAGATAAAGGATTCAGGTAGGTCAGAAAAAAAGATTCTAACATCAGGTTCAGTCAAATATTAAATACTTAAATAACTGTTTTTATTTATTTAGTGAAAATATAATTATAATAAAATGCTACATTTATAAATATTCAAAGATGAAAAATGATACACCCACTTCTCACTTAGCTACATGAATAGGTTCCAAAGACCAGGTCATTATGTAAAAATCGGCATTATGCAAAAATGGAGGATGACCATATCAGATCACAAAATGGAGGATGACTGCATCATTATACAACGCCAAAGCAATGAGAATCATGACCCAGCAAGGTTGAAATATAACCTTAACCATAAGATTCTCACACTTCAGCATTCATTACTGTCAGATGTACAACACTAATATGTAGATGTTTTACTACTGTCATAATGCAAAGTGCAGGATGAAAGACAGGAAGTGAGGAGTTGGTGTGTATAAACTGTAGCATGTAATTCATCCAGTGATCATATTCCTCAAAGAAAACTATTACGACTTCAATGCATAGCTTTCTTATTTTTCTTTAAAGCATGTATAAGTATACTTGCATATGCATATTATATATGTACATCTAGAACTATAATATGCTTTTTTCATTCAACAATATTTCATGGAAACATTGCCATAAAAATTATGTAGATATGCATCAATCTGTTTTAAGACTGTTAAAAATTGAACTACTATTCATCAATTTTCAATGAATGCTCAACTGGATTAGTATTTCTCTATCTAAGTCATTTTCTAGTCATGATTCTTAACTGTGATGTTTTCCCTCTTAATTCTAACCTATTGTCTTCCTCATTTAGACAGCAACATTGAGCTGTCAAGAGGAAGAGACTGGTAATCTTCCTTTGGAAAATGTGGTTAACATGAATCAGAATATAGCTACTCTGTAAAGATTAGAAGAGATGAAAACACTTTTAAAGTTATTCTATGAGGGTAGTATTAATAGATGTATAAAAATGATGTGACTAAGACTAAAACCCACAGTTAAATCATACTTAAAAATGAAAGATTGTATGTTTCTTCTTAAGAGCAGGAAAAGGTGAGGATGTTCTCTTTCAATTCTATTTGGCATTGTTCCAAGAGGTTTAAGTAAGAGCAATCAAGCAAGCAAAAGATATGCAAGGCAACCAGATGGGAAAGGAGAAACTAAAACTATTTACAGATGGCATGATTATGTACATTGTTGTTGTTGTTAGGTGCCATCAAGTCGGTACCGACCCTATGCACAACCAAACGAAACACTGCCTGGTCCTGGGTCAACCTCACTATTGTTGCCACGCTTGAGCCTATTGATGCTGCCACTTTGCCAATCCATCTTGCTGGGGGTCTTTCTCTTTTTCTCTGACTCTCACCTTACCAAACATGGTATTGTTCTCCAGCAACAATATGTCCGAAGTATGAGAGACAAAGCTTGGCCATCCTGGCCTCCAAGGAGCACTCTGACTGCACTTCTTCCAACACAAATCTGTTGGTTCTTTTGGCAGCCCATCCCACGGTACTTTCAATATTCTTCTCCAACACCATAACTCAAAATCATCAATTCTTCTACAGTCTTCCTTATTCACTGTTCAGCTTTCACATTCATATGAGGTTATTGAAAATACCATGGCTTGGGTCAGGCGCACCTTAGTCTGACATCTTTTGCTCTTCAACACTTTAAAAAAGTCTTGTGCAGCAGATTTGCCTAATACAATATGTCGTTTGATTTCTTGACTGCTGCTTCCATGAGTGTTGATGGTTGATCCAAGAAGAATGAAGTCATTGACAACTTCAATCTTTTCACCGTTGATATTGGTCCAATGGTGAGGATTTTTATTTTCTTTACATTGAGATGCAATCCATACTGAAGGCTCTGATCTTTAATCGTCATCAATAAGTATTTTAAGTCCTCTTCACTTTCAGCAAGTAAGGTTGTGTCATCTGCATATCACAGGTTGTTAATGAGTTAATGAGTCCAGGTGTGGCACTGCAGGCTAATACACTAGACCATAAAGTCAGTTTGATCCCCAAGGTCAGTGGTTCAAGTTCACCAGCCACTCCTCAGAAACCCTACATAGGGTCACTATGGGTCAGAAGCAACTCAACAGCACTTAACAACATTATGTACATTAAGCATATACAATTCCACTAAAAGAAATAGACTAAGAAATTAAACAAGTTTAGCAAGGCAATTTGTTGATGCTGTTTTTAGGAACTGGTATGTCAGTTCAAACTCAAGCCAGTCTATGTACAACAGAACAAAACACTGCCCGGTCCTGAGCCATTCTCACAATCATTACTACACCTGAGCCAATTGTTGCTACCACTGTGCCAATGCATCTCATTATGGATCTTCCTCTTTTTTACTAACCCTCCAACTTACCAAGAAAGATTTCCTTCTCCAGAGACTGCTCCTTCCTGATACTATGTATGAAGTATGAGAGAAGTCTTGCCATGTTGGTTTCTAAGGAGCATTCTGGATGTACTTCTTTGTTCTTCTGGAAGTCCATGATTCTTTTACTATTCTCCTCCAACACCGTAACTCAAATGCATCACTTCTTCTACGGTCTTCCTTATTCATTGTCCAACTTTCACATGCACATAAGACTACTAGATACCATGGCTTGGGTCAGGCACTTCATAGTCCTCAAGCTGACATCTTTGCTCTTGAACAATTTAAAAAGGTCTTCTTGTACAGCACATCTACCTAATGTAGTAAGTCATGTGATTTCTTGACCACTGTTTTCATTAGTGTTAATAGTGGATCCAAATGAAATGAAGCCTTTGGCAATTCCAATCTTTTCTCCATTTATCATGATGTTATTTACTGATACAGGAGTGAGGATTTTTGTTTTATTTACACTGTTGTGTAACCCATACTGAAGACTGTGGTCTCTGATCTTCATCAGTAAATATTTTTAGTCCTCTTTGCTTTCAGTAAGCAAGGTAGCATCCTCTGAATATCAAAGGTTATTAATGAGTCTTCATCTAATCCTTATGCCATATTCTTCATATAATTCAGCATCTTGAATAATTATTTGCTTAGCATACAGAGTGAATAAATAAGGTGGCACACACCTTTCCTGAGTTTAAGCCATTCAGTGTCACCTTGTTCTGTATGAATGACTGACTTTATGTACAGCTTCCTCATAAGCAAGATGAAGTGTTCTGTAATACCCATTTTTCTCAATGTTATTCACAGCTTGTCTTAATCCACACAGTTGGAAGC